TCCATCCATCCACCCATCCATCCAACCAATCATCCACCCATCCATCATCCATCCATCCATCCATCCATCCATCCATCCATCCACCCATCCATCCATCCATCCATCCACTCATCCATCCATCCACCCATCCATCCACCCACCCATCTGGAGAGAGAGAGAGAGAAACATAACCAAAAGATGTCATTTTAACCATTTCTTAGGTACACTTCAATGACATCAACCAGGTCAGTCATGCTATGCGACCATCTGTTTCTTGACCTCAATGGTAAGCAGAGACTTTCAACAATGGCTCCCCACATATCGCTTGGCTACAGTGCCCAGCCTGGTCTCCCGCTTGGCCTATCCCCAGACCGTCCCTGGAGGGACAGGGAAGCTCCCAAGTCCTTGTTCCCACCCCCAGGGCGTTTGGCATTGACTGACAAGGGCACTCCTGTTGGATGCATATCTGGAGCTAGTACCCACCGGTACCTGTGCCACCCTCAACCCCCATTGCCAGGGCACACACACCATTTGAACAAGACAATCTCCACGTTGCCCTCAGGGGTGGGCAGGAACTTCTGGAGGCAAAGTCTCAGAGGGCCATTCTCCGTCTCCAGGAGGGTCAGATTGCTGGCTGCCATTGCCAGGGTGTGCCAGATGCCCTGCAGCTGAGGGGGGCCCAGGAGCTGCTGGAGGATGTCCTTCCTGCTCCCACAGAGAACCCCACCCAGTCCAGGGACACAGAGTCCTGCCTCCTCCTGAGCCTCTCAGCCAGCAGATGAGTGTGCACTGTCCCTCAGAATGGGAGGTGGCCTCCGTTGACCTGAGGGACATTCTAGCAAGCTCATCATCTGGTCTCAGAGGAGCCTAGATGAGCCCCTCACCAGGAGAGAGTGGAGAATGGGTGGGATGTTGGAAGTCAACTTCAAGGTCAAGGGGAAGGCCCCCATCTCCTCTTTCTCAGGAGGCCCTCTGTCAACTTTTCCTGAAACTGGCCCCCACCATGACACTGCTGCCCTCTGACCTTTTGCACTTCCACCGCCTCTGTGACTGGAGCAGGGATGACGGCACGGGCACCACAGACGAGGGCCAGGCCCAGGGTGAGCAGGAGACACTTCATGGCCACAGGAGTCCGTTTCTGAGCTCTGAGAGCAAGACAGGGAGAGTGGTGCCAGGGGCTTATATAGGAGGGGTCAAGGCCCTGCCAGGGTTCCACCCTGTGAGGGTTCTGCGACTCTCTTGAGCCATCCGCAGGCCCTCAGGGCTTCCTCACAGGACAGTACCAGGCTCCTTCCCACCCTTCTCTTAGCAGGAAGCTCACCGTCCTCAGGCCTGGTCACTTCCTGGTAGGACTCAGCTGAGAGGAGAGCAGGCTCGGCACCAGGCTGACCAGCAGGGCGAGGACACTTCCTGGTGAGACTGTTAGACAGGTAATGGCTGGACACAGCCCTGCACCGACGTAGCTGAGTCCGGGCAGCAAGGCCTGTCTTTGTCAGGTGCCACAAGTGAGCTCTGAGTGGCAGCAACCCTGTGTAGGACAACAGAAACCCTGCCTGGGCAGGACCACCTTCACAGTCTCTGCTGAAGCCCACTGTCAGTTACGGCCTCAGTCCTTCTCGTTAAGGCTCCTCCTCTGCTTCGCTGACCCTCTGCTTGGAGAAGCATGGTGTCTTCTGCAGGGCCTGGCCCTCCTGACAAGGTGCCCAGCGTGTGTGACGTGGTCTTATCATCCTAGTTTCAAAGGAAGGGGAACCCTTGTTCCAAGTCAGGCAGGTCTAAGGTGTGTGAGGGCCTCAAACAGCAATGGCTCGAGGAGCCCCTCCTCGCACGCGCACGCACACACACACACACACATACACATATACACACATACACACACATACACATACACACATACACGAGTACACACATAAACACATACACACATACATACACATACACATGCACACACACATACACACAGAAACACATACACACACAGAAACACATACACACATACACATACACACATACATCACACATACAATACACACATACACATGTACACACATACACACACATAAACACATACATACACATAAACACATACACACATACATACACACACATACACATGTACACACATACACACACACGTACACGCGTACACACATACACACACATAAACACATACACACAGAGAAACACATACACATATATACACATACACACGTACACACATACACACATACACACATATATACACATACACACGTACACACATACACATACACACATACACATACATACACACATACGCATATACACATATGCACACACGTACGTTGTGCGCTATTGCGTAGGAACTGACCCATCGCTGACCGTCCAGCAGGTTGTCACACAGCAGATGACACAGGACAAAACTGCTCATCCTCCTTCCGAGCAGCTGCTGGATCGGAACCGAGCGCCTTTGGGATTGCAGGGTGGCTTCTTAGCACTGGGCCACCAGAGCTCAATCCTATCTACCTATGCACACCCCCCAGACACACGCCTGTATGTACACGTGTGCGCACGTGGGTCTCTCAGCTATTAACGCTCAGACTGCACCAGCGAGTGAACAAGGCTGTAATGTGCCGTGTCAGTGGCGTGAACTGAACCAGGCTGGAAGATTCACAGTGGACATGGGCTAAGTGGTTTTCACTCTACTCCACCTTTTATATGAGTGTCTCCCACACATCCTACAGCAAACACAGTCTGTGAGGTTTGTTTCAACAATCAGCATAAAATGTTTCCTGCAGGAAACGCTGACTGGAGTCGCGATGCTCGCCCCCCGTAGAATTGGTCACTAGAACGGAACACAGGACAAGGTTTCTTTTCTGAAAATACAGGGACCAAAACCTAAACACGACAAGGAATGACGGTGTTTTCTTTTAGCTGGTTCTCTTATCTCTAAGACGCTACAACTAAAAACACTTCTTTCTGTTCTGTTCTTCCAGCATCATTGGGGGAATGCTGCAAGTCTTCCTCTGCTGGGTGAGGGTTGGAGCCAGGCAGTCAGAGCTACACTGGCCAGCCCAGCCGTCTCCGATTTGTTAGAGACACAGACACACTCAGCCTTGGGAGGTATGTGGACAGTCTCCGCCTGGGCCTTTACAGCTTTGAAACCCACTGCAGGGCGAGCTGTGAGCCGGCCCTGACCCTGTGACTAGGATTTTCCCGGGAGTCTCAGGAGACAAACTTCAGTTACTGAGGACAGACTGTGGGGAGCAGATATCAGTGAAGGGACTGAAATAGGAGGGGGCCCATAATGCAAACAACCACACGTGTGGACATCCTGCTGCCCAGTGCGTCGCATCTCACGCTGTGAGACTGGTGTCCACCACCTGCCTCGTCCATCCACTGCAGCTCTTTCTCTTTGCTGGCTCGTGTCTGCTGGGCATTGTGGCACTTTGCTTTGGCCAGCTGATGTCTCTCCTTTGTTGATGTCTTGGGCACATGTGTGCCCTGCTCCTAGGGAATTCATCCCAGACCCTGGGCACCAGCACGAGGGCTCCAACACCGCCCTCACTCTGCCGGTGGCCACCCTGGGCCCTTACCAGCTCCAGGCTTGGCGCAGCCTCTGGGACTCCTGATCCTCCTGGGCATGCATCCCTTACTCCTTACACCGATTCCCCTCAGAACCCATGGCCTGGTGCACATGCACCCCTATGGTCACCCACATAGCTGCAGGGTGGACAAGGGATGAGGGTGAAGGGGGAAAGTGCCAAGTGGCCTGGGCTATCCACTGCTGAGGGGCACCAGTGGGGACTCCTAGCCATGCTGATGGGCCGCGGCCATGGCTTCAGCCTCTAGGTGGGCTGGGCCAGGGCAGTATGGTGGGCATGCAAGCGTACCCCAGGACAGAACGGAGATGTACAGGTCTCCATGTCAGAGTCTTGGTTGTGCACGTGTCTGGTGGTCTGTCCTCGGATCTGCAGTATATCATCCACCTGGGAGGCACCCCCGCCTCAGATGAGGGTGCATGTCAGCACAGGGCGGACTGGAGGCGTGGGGTCCACACAGCTCTAGCTGTGTCGATCAGCACCACAGGGATGTGCTCACTTTGGGGGAGAGGTGGGCATCGAGCTGATAGGAGGGGTGCCCTCCAGTGGCCACAAGGGGAACCCTCTTGTGATCGGTGGCAGCATATGGGCCTCTCCTCTGGACAGTGACCAGTCCATCTTCGGGCCCCGCTGCTACCCTGGGACACTGGGATGGGGTTGGGGGTCTCGAAAGCTAGTCCTGACGCACTCTAAGCCTTGCTTTCTCTGAACGTCAACTTCTTATTAGAGCAACAGCATTCATCCCACCCTCTACCCCAGCCTTTCGGTGCTGACCCCAACTCCTCCTTCCAAGGCAGGGGCGACTAGGAAGGAGACACTCAGAGAGATCCAAGGTCCACCTGGACATCTAGGGGGGAGCCGGCCCAGCCCAGTGAGCCCAGAATCCAGGGCTGCCCACAGTCAGGGTCACATGGCTCAGGGGCTCAAAGGCCCACTTCTGTGGACTCTGTGGGGAGGCGAAGGTGAAGAAGCTGTCTCTGACTGCGGGCAGCTCTCAGTCAGGAGGGCTCAGCAGAGCACTGCCCCAAGGCCAGCATCATGGCTGCTGTTTGCAGCATTCACTATGCCTGGCCCTCAGGGCCACCGTGGTGTGTCCCTTCACCCTACATGCCTGCAGGGCTCGGCGAGGAGGAAGTGGGTCAGAACAGGGATTGCGGTGATGTGGGGACCAGGCTCCACACCAAGGTCACACCAAGGACACGCTTGAGCAACAGTGGCTTCTGTGAGCAAGGGCAGCATGTGTCCTGTGGGCCTTCGTGGAATGTCTTCTTCCTGGTGCGTCCAGGGAGCTCAGAGTGCATTCTGGGCACACCCGTCCACAATTTCCAGGATTCCAGCTCCACCAAGTGCCACTAACCACATGGGGAACGTCCCAGCCTCACGTGCTCTGAAGCCAGCAGCTGGTCACTGACTGGGAATGACAACTGGCTTCAGGGGGTTATCAGCCCAAGAACCAGTGCTTCCCTGTAAATGTGGAACAGAGCTCAGCCCGGTGACCCTGCCCTAAGAGAAGGGTCAAGGGCTCTATTTCCCAGGATTCCTCCATACATCCCTCACCTCCACACATCCCTCACCTCCACACATCCCTCACCTCCACACATCCCTCACCTCCACACGGCCCTCACCTCCACACATCCCTCA